AAGAAAGCTATTTTTAAATCATATAAAAAATGTTATTTGATACAATTACTAACAGTATAATCTTGTATCTACCTTTAAGCAAGTCTCATTGAAGTACCTATGTGTACATTTATACAATAAATAATATACATTTTATGTTTTGTAACATAATCCTGAATCCTATTGTTCTAAATTTTATTTAGATTATTAATGTACTTCAGTTATATCCTTTTTCCATTTCTAGCTAAATAAGTGATGTTAGAAAAAGAATAGGAGACAGAGTTCACAAAATTAATCAGGCTTAAGATTTCTTGGCTTTATTGTAAATTTAAGAGTGCATTTAATTTTCACTGAAATCAATGAGATAGTAAAGCTCTTAATTTTAAAATCATGCTCACAGAATACAGTCACTATTCACTAATTAAAAATATGTCATTTTTAACTAATACAATGAATGGAAATACTACATAATATACAGTATTGACAGAACATGCAAGCAAGATGTGTTGCTTGTGACTGGTTATTGTTAATTGCGAAGTCGTCTCCGACCCATCACGACCCCATGGACAACGTTCCTCCAGGTCTTCCTGTCCTCTACCATCTTCTGGAGTCCATTTAAATTCAGACCTACTGCTTCAGTGACTCTATCCAGCCACCTCATTCTCTGTTGTCCCCTTCTTCTATTGCCCTCAATCTTTCCTAGCATTAGGCCCTTCTCCAGTGAGTCCTTCCTTCTCATTAGGTGGCCAAAGTATTTGAGTTTCAACTTTAGGATCTGGCCTTCTAAAAAGCAGTCGGGGTTGATCTCTTCTAGGACTGACTGGTTTGAACGCCTTGCAGTCCAAGGGACTCGCAGGAGTCTTCTCCAGCACCATAGTTCAAAGGCCTCCATTCTTTTGTGACTGGAGACTGAATGCCAAAGTTAGAAATATTAAGGATGAATATGTAGCTATATGGCTTAGATTAGAAAACAAGACTAAAGCAGGAAGCTAATTTATTAACTTCTTCCACTGTAATGATTTGTTCATAGTTACCATCTCCAGACAGAAAAAAAAATGATATCCACCAGAGGAGTACTGTACATAGAAATCAAATTGACATTATTGCTAAAATTAGGTGAAGGAGTTTAGTAAAAGCATCAAAAATATGGGCAGCTGCTGATTGTGCAACAGATCACAAACTGTTCATGTGTAAACTCCTACTAAGCTAAAGAAAAATAAGAAAGCCAATCACTATGATTTTGAGCATCTACCTTCCATTTTCAAGGGAAAAAAATCACAAATCACATTGAAATCCTGAACTATTGAATGAAGTTAAGGAAGCAGCTAAAGATAAATGTGAAAAGGGACAGAAGATGAAGAGACAGAAGGAAACTAGAAGGTGGAGGAGGAGGAGGAGAAGGAGAAGGAAAAGGAAAGCAAAGGAAGGTAAAGATCTCAGGAAGGACCTTAAGGAAGAGTTTCAGAGAGTTGTTTGATATCAGGCCCAAAACCAAAAAACCCAAGATGGGTTATTTTGTTATTGTTTCATACCTGTAGACAAAAACATGCCAAACTGAGCACTTTACTACCTGCATCTACCACCCGGGTGTCAAAATCGATCGTGTCACGTGATGTATTGTGACTTTTTTGCCTTTGCAGAGCCAGGGTGGGCGTGGCCTGTGTGTAACGCATCCAGCCTACAGTCCGCCAGTTTGATACCCCTGGTCTACCATATACTCTGCAAACTATTAGAGAAGATCTTGACTTCATTTGCTTTCTTTCACACATAACATCTACACTGAGTTGCTTTTTACTCCTCTGGAATGCACCACCTGCCTCCTGGGAATCCATCTCCTTACTACTTTCCATCACATTGGAAGACTCATGAAGCAGTATTGCAACAACATCTGTAAAGATATTGAAGATGGAAACAGTCAGGAAAGGAAAAGTGGTCCAAAAGATCTCTGAAATCAAAAGAAGATTCCAAACCGCTAAAACTTGCCAGTGCATAGACAACAACTGATTCAAAGAAGATCAAAGAAAGATGGATTATACTGAAACACTATACATCAATATTGATATTAAGACTTACCGTATAGTTCATTTCACATATAGGGCTTGTTTTGCATGATATTCACAGAATTGTACACGCTAACTAGGTTCACCCACCACAGGACTTTCAGTATGATAAACAGTCATAGATTGGTCCCTGCATACATAAAGTTAAATGCAATCACTGTGTACAAGTCTTACTGACAAGACTTAAAGTCTGAAGAAATCTGCAGGGCATGTTTAGACGCTGAAGCCCCACCAGAGAAATTATTTTCTGTTGGGAGTAAATCGGATATAAAATATTGGAATTACTCGTTAGTACCGTAGTACATCTGCACGTAATATTCAATACATGCCAAGTTATACGCGTGTTAAGAATGGTAAGCCCTCAATCGATATGCTCTCTCACGGACTCAGAGGGATATGAGATCATAAACATTACGTATTAAAACAATGCAGTTGTGGTTCATACCAAACCAATATACAGCCGGCAAAATCACAGAATCGCAGCCGGCCGATTGAACACAGCAGAAATACAACATTTCCCAGCATGCCTTTTGCATCCGGCCGCCTGCAGACTCTTTTGAGCGGAGTCACGTGCTGCATTTTGGAGCTCGTAGTCCATGTAAAGGGCGAGTCTCTGGTTTAAGGTGAATGGAATCAGCCAGGCTGAGAAAGGAGGCTTTGGCGGAGCGGCTGTATTTGCTGCCAATAAAGTTATCTTCAAAAAAGAGGGGGAGGAGGAGAGGAGGGGGGAAAGGCAGCACGTCAAGATGGCGGCTCCCGTGTCGCCCTTGGTTACTGGGCGCCGCTTGATAAAAGCTGCCATTCGACCCGCCGCTCTCGTCCTAACATGCTGGGCCCCGCGGAAAGGTTAGTGGCATTTGGGTCTAGGACGCAGGATGTTGGCTCGCAATCTGTAGGGAGGAATAGGGCTCAGCTGGAAGGTCAGCTGTCAAACGGCTCCCCTCGTTTCAAGCCCTGGCCGTGACTGTCAAAGGAGTCTCAGCACTGCGGGTAGCGAGTTAAAGCGGCTCGGTTTTCTTTCCTGCACTTGAATCTCCCGGCACCGGCTTTTCGGGAAGTGTGACGCGTGTTCCGAAGAGGAATGTCCAGCGTGTTTTAAAGTTCTGGAATGTCTGTGAATGCTGAAAAAGTTAAGAATAAAGGCCGTTCTGCTAGCTCTCTCGATTTTAAAACATACGGCCTAAGGCAGAGAGTTGTTTGATCTCAGGCCTAAGGCTGGCTGGGGATTTCTGGGAGTTGAAGTTCACAAGTCTTAAGAGTGGCCAAGGTTGGAGACCTCTGACCTAAGGATTTTATGCCCCTTTAGGGATGTTCTTCAATTTTATTTCTCATTTGTAATGGAGAGCTGATTTAAAGAAGATAAATATTTGTTGGTGTGTACCGATTATTCCCTGAGAAGTGTCTCTTTATATACAATTTGCCAATAGGATGTTGTACATATCCTTCTTTTGTCCCCAGCAAAGAGAAAACCCTACTTCAGGATGGTTTTTCAAAGCTCTTCCAGATGCTGCCTTATACAAATTTAGTTATGTTAACATCAGTGAATCAAAGTTTAACACATAAACCAGGAGGATCAAGCAAACCATTATGTTTTAATATGCTGTATAATGTTGACTTTGTGACAAAGTAGAGTAAAATAAATACTTCTGGGTATGGACTGAACATTGATGTCAAAACATGCAGAGCTCTTTGTGGATTATTTTTTAATAGCCATTACCTTTATAGTTGTGGAGGTATTGTCTTAATGGCAAAAGAGTAGATTGGTTGAACACCAGGAACTGCTGGTTTATCTCTAATAAGGCTGAGTATCAGTACAAGAGATTTGTTCTGGATCCTGAGTGCTGTTCATTCTGTATGGCCCAGAATTGATTGAGATGCGGGAAAAAAAAAATAACCCCTTCCACTGAAGACTCATCAGTAAACCTTACTGACAAATGTGAAGTTCCCAATGTTGAAAAGCGTTACACTGATGGATTCTGCAGCTTGTACTTTACTGTCACAAAAATGATGTACAGAAAAATGCTCTTATCAATTAAAATTTTTCACAAAATATAGATGTACTTTGCAGCTGTTTTGGTGAACTGTCAAAGTTAACAGTTGTCAGATTATATACACAGGTGATAAATACATATATTCAAGCATCTTTTGTTGCAGGGGATGCATATTAAAAACCTTCTTGGAAGTTATAAATTTGCAAGCATAGCAATAAGTCCTATGTGCTATAATTCAGTTTCAGTGCATATTGTGATTATGGAGTGAAAATAACATTTTTGGTATTTGCATGTATGTTTTTTGTCTTGAAGTTAACACTAGTTTTGCTAGTAGACAATGCTCTAGGAAATATGCGCTATAACTGACTTGGATAATGTTTTGCTTTTCTATTGGTTAATTTTAATTTGCACCAGTGTAGAATAATATTTACAAATCTTCAAAATTATATTTAACTTGTCACACAGGGAAACTTTTTAGATAACAGATTCATTTTCTTGCCTACCATAGCCAAACTTTGGACAGGCTGAATTCCATCCTACATAATCTGTTTGCTCATAGGATTCTAGATTTTAAAATAAGAATGCATGTTAAATTATGTGGAATTTATAAAAGGTAGATTCGGGTGCGTATGTCAGAATCTTTCACACTTCAGATGTATCTGCGTCAGTGTTAGCCGATTCAGAATATGCCTTCTTGCTTAAGAATATGGGAAATTGCAGAATTAGTTTACATCTAGTACAGTGTTTTTCAACCTTGGCAGGTTTAAGATGTGAGGACTTCAACTCCCAGAATTCCCCAGCCAGCCAAACTTAATACCTCAGTGGCAATTATAAGATGCATTCTTATTCTGAGAAGAGCAAGAGTTAAAGGTAGTGTCATTCTACTCCATAATCTAATTTATTCAGCATGTGCCTGTCTCTTTGTTATTCTCTCCTTTTCTACTAATTCCTTTCCCCTCTCCTTTGTTCTCACTAGCTGCTTACCAGAGTAGGGACAGTTCTGTCATACTAAAAATTTGAAAAAATACTTGGTGTATATATGTAAGAAATAAAAACTGTAGTAGTGCTCAAAGGAACAAATTAGAATTAAAAATGGCTATACTTTAGCACAAAGGAGTGAAGTTTGGGGGGACATAAATAGCAGAGATAGCTGGTACAGGAAGCAAGAACAGAAAGAGCAGAACCAACCAGTGGATGAGAATGACCATCAGGAGTATGATATTCAGAAGTGATACTTAATCTCTGGAAGAATAGCTATTTCGATCTCTAGCAGGAGAAGCAGGCAGCATCAAGATTCCCAATTGAAAAGGAGGCAAGTAGGTAGAATTTTGAACAGCATAGATGATGCAACTAAGGTCAAGCTGCACACAGAGATAGCTAATCATCTCAGCTCTCTAGGCTTTTAACTCCTTATTCAGATATTTACTTATTGATGAGGAGGTGCACAGGCATGGTTAGCAAGATTAATCTCTTTATTGTAGATGAGTGAATCTGCATGCATACAGAACATAAACATTGTATTATACAGAAATCAAAGTCCTCATATGATAATTAGTTTATACTACTCAGTTTAAATTCTAGGCCAGTGGTTCTCAACCTGTGGTCTGTGAACCCCTGAGAGACCACGATGTCACAAGGGGTCTGTTCATGAAGGTTTGAAGAAATGTTATGATTTAAAACTTGAGTTAAGTCTTGGGAGTCCGTGACCACAAAAGGTATTTAAAGGGGTCTGTGATGAAGAAAAGGTTGAGAACATTGTTCTAGGCTTTTCCCTCCTTCCTTTCCAATTCAATGAATATTTGGGCCATTCTCTTTATGGACTTGCAATGCGCTGATTTGTGAGAGGACAATTTTCTCCAGTATAGGAAGGAACCAGTGGTTTTTACCTTGGTAGCTTTATTGTCAGAAGGATGGATGTTGAGGAATAGCTGCCAAAGCTTAGAAAGACCAGTTATTTTTCCTGGTCATTCTTACTGGGTTGGTGGGGGAGAAGAAATCTGCAAACAATAGCTGCACTATGGCTTTTGAAGATCTAGAAAAGAATCTGAAGAACTTTGGGGCTCCTGTAGTGTTCTACATCCTTTCTGTCTATAGAAGAGAGAACAACAAAACAAGAATGGAAAGCTGGCAGCCCGGTTTTGAGACACAGATGCCATACGATGTAAGCTCCTGTTATTTGCCCCAGCTCCTGCTCAACTAGCAGTTCCAAAGCATGCAAATGCAAGTGTATAAATAGGTACCACTTTGGTGGGAAGGTAAAAACATTCTGTGTGCCTTGGCGTAAAGTCATGCTGGCCACATGACCACAGAAGTGTCTTCAGATAGTGCTGGCTCCCTTGGCTAGGAAACAGAGATGAGCACTGCTCCCTAGAGTCGGACACAACTGGATAGGGGAAACCTTTACTTTTATATGAAAAAGTTTGTTTTCTAATAATACATAGAATATTAATATTTATGTGTTAATCCCTATCTTGTGATGTCATAGAAAGTATCATCTCAATGGCCCAATGAAGGACGGCATGCATTGTGGATATTGATCTGCAGTTGTACATGTTGATCTGAAATCAAAGCGAGACTGATGAATTGTAGTGCCGCTGAACATGCATTTAGTAATGTTAAGCGTTGAAAACCCTTTTTGCTTTGCCTGCTTGTGGTGTTCATGGAAAACACATCAGAAATCTGTGCAGAGGTTTCTGGCCACGTTAACACTGTGTATTATTTTATATTGCACATACTGAAGGTGATGGGTGTTCCGTATGTGTGTTTAAGTCATATGTAGAAAGTAGCCTTGGAATAGAAACAAAGTTTATAATAAATTTTATTATTTAGGTCTCATGTTCTTCTGAATGCTGCACAAGGCTCACAAATTATCTGTTAATGGGGAGTAAATTGGACTAAGAAGATAGTGTTCCTCAAACATGGCCGCTTGAAGATGGGTAGACTTCAACTTCCAGAATTCCCCAGCCAGCACAGCTAGGGAATTATGGGAACTGAAGTCCACCCATCTTCAAGCTGCCAAGGTTAATTTAAGAAGCATTGGAAAAAATAATGACTATCCCAAAATCATCATTGATAATATTAAGAGAGCCAGTTTGGTGTAGTGATTAAGGTCTTGGCCAAGAAACCAGGAGATTGTGAATTCTAGTCCTGCCTTAGGCAGGAAGACCAACTGGGTGACTTTAGGCCAGTTACTCTCTCTCTCAGCCCAACCCACCTCATAGGATTGTTGTTGTGGACAAAATAGGAGAAGGAAAGTGTATTAAGTATGTTTGCCGCTGTAAGTTATTTATAAAAACAATAAAGGTGGGATAAAAATAAATCAGTGAGCTTTGTGGTCCAAGGGATTTGACCAGCATTTCTCATTTCAGCCCACTAACTTATTATAGAAGCATAAGGCTGACTCTTAGTTCTCCTTCTTCTTCTTCTTTTTTAAAAGTAAATAAATGTTTCTCTCATGTCATACAGCATATACAGTTCAGGTAGCAGAGAAAGCCGCTGCTGGTGGTCTAGCAGATGCTAATTCGAAAGCCTTATTGCTTTGCAATGGACCTTTAGAACATTATGAATTTCTTACCAAAGTGGAGCAGCTGAGGAATGATGAACAGCAGCAAAAAGTCATGCGGTGCCTGCAGAAACTACATGAAGGTCTTAAGGGGTACAACCTCAGCCCAAAACACATATTCTCAAAGGTAAAGTTCTGCCATTAAGCATTTTTGTAGCAGTTTTTGTGTCTGGTTCAAATGATTTTTCTGAATTTGATTGCAACAATTGATTGTAAACTATGTTATTTAATAATCCCAGTTCATGCCTAAGAGCAGGGGTGTCAAACTGCCGGCCCGCGGACCGGATACGTCATGCCGAAACCACGTCCATCCTATTGGCGGCAACGGGAAAAAAGTCACAATACGTCACAATACGTCATGTGACGTTGCGAGTTTGACACCCCTGCCTAAGAGGCTGAGACTAAGAAGATAAGACAAAACGACAAGGCTGAGTATCAGAAATAGTAATGATTACTTGATGACATTCAAGTTATAAATAAGAAACTTATTGATATTTTTATTCTCCGCAGTGCAATTAAACTTAGAACATTTTATTGATTGAGATATTTTCATGGGAAGTACTCCAATCCCAAATTGATCTGCAACCTATATTCAGTTCCTAAATAAAGTTACTTGGGAAAAGTTGCTAATAACAATTTACCAATGTTTGATAGAAAAAAAACTCAGCTGTCACTGTTCTACAACTTAAAATATACTTAAGTGATGTATTACTATTACCTGAGTAACACTGTTCATTGTTGTGTCCCCAAGAATGTACAGATTCTACACAATGTTTGGGATTGTTCTATCTTTAATATGTGGAAGGTAGTATCCTGAACCTTACAAAGAGGTCTTTGCCAGAAGGTGGCAGAGTCATACTGTAATCTGAAGAAAATAGTTCAGATTTTTGTGTTATGCTGTACTTATTCTAGTTGCTTTTAACATTTCTTTTCAGGACTCTGGTGAAAACCTGCAAGTTTTGCTCCCTAGTACTAGACTAGACAGAGGAAAACATCAGAAGCCTCTTCCAGATTAATATCTATTGATTAAACATTAATCTATAGCAGGTCTTTTCAACCTTTTCACCCATTGTACCACTTTTAGGATATGGCAATATCTGAGTGCCTAGCAAGGTGTTAAAAACTTGATTATCCCCCTCCCCCCAAAAGAAAAAAGTGATAAAGTACAGGTAGTCCTTGACTTACAACAGTTCGCTTACTGACTGTTCGACGTTACAATAGCACTGAAAAAAGCGCCCCCCCCAAGCCACAGCCAAGCAAGACACCTGCCTGCCCACCCGGTGGCGCTCTTCCTCCTGTCCAAGATTTTCATTGTTGTGAGCATTTCTGTTGAGGATTGGCAGCGGGGTGGGGTGGGGGTGTTTGGTTTTTATTCCCCCGTCTGCTGGGTGGTTGCAGCAGGTTTTGGTCACTTCACATGACCCTGGGACACTGTGACCATCATAAATATGAATCAGTTGCCAAGCATCTGAATGTAAATCACAAGACCCTGGAGATGCTGCAACATTCCAGCTGATCGGCGCTTCTTCAGGGCTCAGCAGAAGCACCAGGATCAGCGTCGAGCTCCAGCTGGAGCCTGGCACTGATCCTGGCGCTTCCATTGAACCCTGATAGCCCCAAAGAAGCGCCGATCAACTGGAAAGCAGCACTGATCCTGGCGCTTCCACTGAACTCTGACAGCCCTGCAGCTCCAGCCATCTCTCTCTCAGGCTTGTGCGGTGCTGCCACCGGTTCAGTTCATTCCCCTCCACCGCTACTTTTCTAAGATGGTCGTGTACCACCTGCCATATGCCAATGTGCCACAGGTGGTACCCGTACCACTGGTTGAAAAGCCCTGATCTATAGGATAATGTGAAAGAAATGAACATGAGGCAAGAAGTAAGAATATCAGGCAAAATTTATCAAATGAATTGGGTAGAAATCAGCAGACAAAGATGGTGATGAGGGGGTCTGTTAGATAAATGGTCTATTTAGCATTTCCAAACAGTAAACAACAGTATTTCCCCTAGCTAAGGACTTGTTCATATTTATTGCTGGATAAATTGCAGTTCTTGGATAAGTTGCAGTTTGAACCCTAGGTCTTTCTGTAAAAAATCAGATCTCTTCATATCAGAATGTGTCACAATGGAGAATATATTGGTGTTTTAAATTTTAGAAAAACATCATTTAAAGATGTTATCGCTGCAAATACTGCAGGAATTATTTTTGAAGACATAAACTTTAGAAAAAGTATATCATTAATTTATTTGTGTTGGGAAATCCACAGCAGGCAAGTGGGAGGGATCAAGTGGCGAGTTAGCCTCGAGTCATTGCACAGCTGCAAGAGCCCTAGGATGGCCCCGTCCCCAATGTCATGTGACTTTATCTGTTTGTACCCAAGAGAGGGTGAGCAATGTGGAGAAATTCTTCTGTTATAGGTAGAATACAATAGTTAACTTGAACATTTCACATCTGGATCTGCTTGCTTGCCCCTCACAATTTTTATGTATACCATACTGCTAACATTTTTTAGTATTTCAAGTATATTTGATCTAGTGCAGGGGTAGACAACTTTGGCTCTTTTATGACTCGTGGACTTCAACTCCCAGAATTCCTGAGCCAGCCATTTGCAAATTTGTATGTATTATTTAAAAAGCAGAGATGTTTATTTTAAGGGGAGATTTGTTATCTCCTTCCCCCTGCTCCCAAGTCAGTTTTGGAAACAGATCATTAAAGCTTCGCTTCCTCAATGAACTTTTCTGTGGAAATCTCCCCTCCAACCTTAGCCATGGGTAAGGGATTCAGCCGACACTTTTAGCCAGCATCTTGCTGGCAGCCAAAAACCTTTTAGCATGAATGCACAAGCTGTTTCTGACTGAAGTCTTTTCCTCTACCCTAACTCTGACATGCTGGAGATGGGAGAAGAGAGGATAATGTTAGAAAAGTGGTCCAGAGCAAGATTTCAAGCTAAATTTAATCAAACTTAAATTTCTAATTTATATAAGTAATGTAGTCCTTGACTTACAAGATTCACTTAGTGAACTCTATCTGTATATTTGCACTAATTGCTCCCTTAGGTTTTCAATACTTTTCCATTTCTGTTCAAAGGTACAATGGCACTGAAAGAAGTGAGTTGTGACCGTTTTTCACACGACCGTTGCAGCATCCTCATGGTCACATGATTAAAATTCAGGTGCTTAGGAAACTGACTGACATTTGTGAGAGTTGCAGTGCCCAGGGGCTCATGTGATCACCTTTTGCAATCTTCTGACAAGCAAAATAGGGAAGCCAGATTTACTTAACAACCACATTACTAACTGCAGCGATTCACCTAACAACTGTAGCAAGAAAGATCATAAAATGGAGCAAAACTCACTTTACAGCTGTCTCACTTAGCAACAGAAATGTTGGGCTCAATTGTAGCAAGTTGAGAGCTATCTGTATATTTGCACTAATTGCTCCCTTAGGTTTTCAATACTTTTCCATTTCTGTTCCATAAAAATTATGGGTTGACTGCACTCTTTCAGGGGTTTCTTAGGATCATATCCAGGAGTCTGGAGAACTCCGAGCATCCTAAGTGTCTTGTGTTGTGTATTTTAATTTACAACTAGAACGAACTCTTTTTGAATATATTAGGCATCCCTAATTTGTATATTTCAGCGAATTCTTAGGTGACTGGAAGCTGGTATACCCTCTCCATGCTACAAAGTTAAATGTGACATCTTTCTGGAAATTTGAATGGATCTGTATTATTTGTGTGGAATTATTTACCGATTTAGATTAAGAAAACAATGAATATAAGCACATAAAAAAACTTTTGATAGCTTTTCAATTAGAACTTTGTAACACGCCTTTAGCCGAAATAAACAGCTCTTATCTGAGGTTTCTGTTCTAGCTTTTGGCATTTTTCCCACTCTTCTTTACAAATTCTGCTAATTCAGAAATATTCTTGGAACTTTTGTACATTTGTCCTTGAGATCTCCCATAGATTTTCAGTGCTATTCAGATGGGGACTCTGAAGGCCACACTAAAACCTTTATCTTTTTTTTTTCTCAAAATAATTTCTGCTTGATTTGAAACAAGATTGTTTTCTTCCTGAATGAAATATACAATCTCCTTTTAGCTCCAGATTCCTCGCTGACTGTGGACATTAGCTTCTATTTTTATACTTAGTTGACTCGACTCTTCAAAAGTACCATAGATGAATATGTATTCATACCCTCGATATTTTTCTCTCCCTAACAAAAGGAGAAGACTATTGGAGGGATGGGATTTACTTTTTGGTTGGCATGCCTATTTAATATTTAATAAAAAAGTGGATTGGGCCTTTAAATCTCATATTATAAGGATCTCTTTACTTAGGGTTTGGAGGAAATATTATAAAAGTGATTTTAAAATACCATTATGGGCTATACCTTGGCATGCGATAGAGGGGATAAAGAGAGGTGTTAAAATGGATACGGTGTCTTATACACAATTACTTAGATGGGATGGTCAAAATTGGCAGTTAAAATCTTTGGAAGACCTAGTACATGAAAATATTACCTATTCTTGGTTTCAATATAGACAATTAGTAGATAGATGGAAGATGGACCGTAATTTAGGCTGCTTAGAGAAGATGAAAATCTTTTTAAGCAAGTAAAGGATCAAAGACAAACTCACATTAAGAGAATTTATGGGGTGCTAGTGGAACTGGATTCAGAATCAGAATTAATTAAAGACTGTATGATTAAATGGGCGCAGAATTTTGGTGAACCAGTTCTACTGGATACCTGGGAAACTATCTGGGTGAGAAATGTTAAGTTTACACAAGCCCAGAATTTAAGGGAGAATTTTTATAAAATGTTTTACAGATGGCACCTTGATCCACAAAAGATGTCTCTCATGTATCCTGACTTACAGCCTAAATGTTGGAGATGTGGCTGCCTGGATGCCACTTATTATCATATTTGGTGGTCGTGTAAAAATATAAAAGCTTTTTGGATTAAGATATGGTGGAACATTCAGAGAATTTTTAGAAAGAGGGTAAAATTTACTCCACAATTGTTTTTGCTTGGTATTGTTACTGATTGTGATGCTAAGGAGGTTATATTGATGTTGAATCTGATTACAGCCGCAAGGCTGTTAGTAGGTCAATACTGGAAGAAGGAATCTTTGCCTACTTTGCAAGAGTGGTTTTTTAAAGTATCTTACTTGGCGGAAATGGCAAAGATTTCGGCTTTCTTAAAAGAGCAAACGCAAGAGAAATTTTTTGCTGTATGGGAAAAATGGATAAATTTCATACAATTTAAATTGGATTTGAAAAAATATCATTTAGTTTTTTTATAATTTGTATAAAAACTTTATTTTTTCTTTTTCTTTTCTTTGTTTTTCTTTTTTAAATACTTTCTCTTTTTAAGGATTATAATTCTTTTTTCATATATATTTTATTTTTAATTATCTTACAATTTTGTTAATTTTTTTTAATTAAGCCTATATTCTGCTCTGGGAAGCTGGGGGGGGGAGGGAGGGGGTGGTTTGGGAGGGGTTGGGGGAGGGTTGTATTGTTTTGTTTTTTTGTTGTTGTTGTTATTGTTTTTTTTCTGTCTTTGTAAGTTTTTAAAAAATTTTCAATAAAAAAAAAGGAGAAGACTAGACCAAAATAACAACGTATTAAACTTAATTTCCTTTAATGTAAGGTATTTCATTATAAAATTCATGATCCTACTCTGCATATACAAACCATTCCTAAATATAAAAATTGCTTTCAGAAATTGTCAGAAAATACTGTATAGCAGAAAAGAAAAAAAGGGGGAAGTCAGATGGGGATGAGGAAGAAGAAAAAAATAATTTTCCAGAGAAGGAGACGAAAAGAGAAAATGAGAACAATGAAGAGTGAATGAAGAAGTAACTGGACCAAAAGAAAGAAGAGAGTTTCAAAATATTATATTTTATTCACAGGACAATGAGACCTTTCCAAACAACAGCAGAGTCTACAGCCATTTGTACCTCCTGCCCATTCCTTTTTTTTTTTTTCAATAAATTCTTCTGTATTTATCAGCAAGCAAAAGGGTCTGCTTGTCTACTAAGTAGGTAGAACAGAAAAAGGAGATTCTCTTTTATCTGAGATTCCCAAGAGTTTTTTGTCCTGATAAAATGGAGATGAATCCCAGCTGTCCAGCACCATGTTTCTTTTATACTCTGAACTGAGGAGCTTCTTGGATGAGAAGTGAAATGGTTTTCAAAGGAGGAAACTGGGAAAGTCCAGTTGTCTTTTGAGAAGCACCTGTGGGACATTGTTATGAACAGAAAAAAATAAATGTATTAATTTATATGCTGCCCAACTCCCAGTGACTTGTGACACAGATGGGTATAGCCATGAAGCTCATTGCCTCATGGGCTCATCCCAAGTAATCATTGGCCCAACACATGGACAGAACTAGTTATTATTTGGATCTTTTCTTTTTCTAGTTTTGGGGTTTCAGGGAAGTTGTGGAATTATGTAGCTTCCTTGTTGTGCAGTTATGGGGCTATCTGAATATGGAGGACAGTACCTCTACCACGTTGTGTGTCTTAATTTCTTCCTGGTCCAAATGAAATTAACTGCCACCTAAGATATCTGCAGAACTGAAGATGACTGATGGATCTGGAGAGTTTCCAAAGGACTCTGGGGGAAGTTTGCCAGTAATCTAGCAATTACCTGTTTAGCATTAGGAGGAGATTGGAGTCTAAAAGAAATTGTCTCTTAAGCAATCTCTTTCTGTAAAGTAATGGTGCGCTGCTCCTTGAATGCTCCAGGAAAGAGGTAACATAAGCAATTCCTAGAGCATTGGCGGAGGAAGAATAAAAATGAATATTTTTATGATGATGATACGCAGAGGCAATAACCATTGTTGAAATTTAGATGGGGCAGCGCACCACCTGGTCCTTTCAGACCTCACAGTAGCCTTTGATGCCATCTTGGTATCTTTCTGAAGCATCTACAACAATTGTGGCTACTGTTTGACAGAGGTTTTGCTCCTTCAGAAGGTGGTTGTATTTGTTGGGAGGAGAAGATGAGAGATGGGCTTGGGAGGTGCTACCCTCCCTTCTTTAATATTTACATGAGAGGGGCATATGGAGATTTGGGATGAGGTCTGGTCAGCTTGCTGATTATATTTAATTATACATTACCACTCTTGGCCCAGTGGGGAATGCCTGGAAGGTTTTGTCTAGAGGCTATCAGAGTCTGGATGAGAGAAAATGGGCTAAAATTGAACACCAGTTGCTTTTTGTCCATCACCTTCTATCATTTTCAGTAGTCTTTCTTGAAAGAGGTAGCACTACTCTTGAGAGAACGAATCTGTTACTTGGGGGGGGGGGGCTTACAGGAAGGGTGCTTCTGGTTTTCTGTAAAAGCAAGTAGAGGTTGTGCCCAGAAGACTTTTGCTCACTCTGACTGTTGTGATCTGGAGCAGTTGCTACAGAGAATCATTCCCTCATCATGATGCATTCCTCATGGGGTTTGAAGACCACTTAGAACCTGTAGCTGTGCAAGATGTAGAAACCTATGTGTCATAGGTATTGAATAGTGTGTTTGTGCAACAGTGGTACTGTGGGCCTTGCACTGGTTGCCAGTAGGCTTCCAGAATCAGTTCAAAAAGCTAGTTTTAACCTATAAAATTATACATGGCATAGCACCTTCGGCAGTGTCTCCTCCAATTGCATATAACTGATCTAAGGTGTCTTTCTCAAGAGAAACTGCTGGTCGAGCTCGAAGTTGGGGTGTGGAGACATTGTTTTTACATGACAACCTGTTCCTCTGGAATGGTACCCCCTTGCAAGTAAGATTGGTTCCATCAGTAATAAGCTTCCAGAAGGCTAGTTGAAACTGGGTTCCTCTTTGAGGCTTTGAGTGAACTGTGAGGGTTGTGTTATTTTAATTTAACCTAATTTTAATTGCATTTTCTGTGGATATTTTCACTGTGATATTTTATAATTGTTGTGAACCTTCAAGAGCTGCAAAATGTGATTTTATATATGTGTGTGTGTATGTGTGTGTGTGAATGAAATGGTCTGTTTACATGTAGGTTATAATTTTCACTATAGAATTATTCAAAATGCTCAACCTACTGGGCTTGAAAAGATATTAAAAAGAATATTTAGAGTTTTTTGTCCTTTCCAATTTCCCTTATTGTGTGCTTGATCAACCAAAATACTATTTGAGCTTTTCAGCAGCCGAGCAGGCTTTGTTCTTTTTAATGCAATAGCTGAATTGAGTTTGCAAGCTATATTGACTTTGCAATAAACGTATTGTGTTGTTTTCTTATTTTGCTTTTTATCCAAGGAGAATAAAATATAATCATTTTCTTAATTTGCAGCTTTTTACAAGACGTAAACCTCCAAAAGGCCTTTACATCTATGGCGATGTTGGTAAGTTGAAAGATTTTAACTGAAACACGGCCAATTTTTTTTAAGCATATCTGCACACTTTCCCAGATTTGTAGCGCGCTAATAAGCTAACTTTCTTTTCCAATGATAGCCATGAGATTAAATAGAACACAGCACCCTGGGCTGAGCTACTAATGACCTGTATTTAGTTTGCTTTGACATTACAGAGCAAATCAAAGCTCGGAGCAATGTCAGGTAATGAAATGGATCAACGTAGTGTGCTTTGTGATATGGGATCCCTGGACCATGTGAGCCTGGATTACATATGGCAGGAAGGGCACTTGTTTTGATGCCCTTGTTATGTGGAAGGGGGATGTTAGTTGAGGTGTACACTTGGTCTGACCGAAAGATGTATTTGTGACTAATCTATTTTAAAAAAGAACTGAGGCATCCGCATTTATTTTTAGGGGAATAATGCTCAGTATATTTCAGACAGAAACAATAATTGCATTTTTGGATTTTGTTATTATATTTTAGATTCATATAATACAAATGATCCTGCCCATGTTAGTTGAAGTCTTGCATCAAAGATAATGATTTTGTACTGTTCAGATCACGATTGTGATTTCATTAGCTCAATGCTAATGAACAGTCATTACTGTAATCAGTACATAGTGTTTTAAATTAACAACCTGTTGGTTATGTGTGTTTTTATTTGAAGGCACAGGAAAGACAATGGTGATGGACATATTTTATTCTCATCTACAAGTAGAAAGAAAAAAGAGAGTCCATTTCCATGGCTTCATGCTTGATGTGCACAAAAGTAAGTTTAAATCTTTCTGGTACAATACAGTATGTTACAGGTATCTTCCATGTTATCTGTCATCCTGTTTCTACTTAATTCTTTGTCTTAATTCTTTGCCTGCAAGACTGTCAATTGAAAGCCGAAAAGAAAGGAATTAATGTAGACTGTTTGGGGAAATTTTCAACTTGATTTTTCAGTTAGAATAGAGCTATCTTGCAACACCCCTTGGAATTAATTGAGAGAAAACATTGAGGATTTGAGTAAGTAGGTTCATTTCCCTTGAGTGAGTAAGTACCAGTGGACAGTCAATCACTTATTTAATTCATTTGTACTTATTTGCATGATTAAAAATTCAGAGCATCTGCTGGAATGTGGTGATATGTGCTCTTGCCACAATTATATAGAGGGATTGAACAATATTGTGAAAATACCTAAACCTTTTACAATAGTCCACCGCAAGTGAAGAGTGAACTTGTGTTATAATGTATTTGTTGGTCTTTCAGTTGCCATAAGGCCCTGATTTAAAAGTTGAATAGCAAAAAAATGAAATGTCAAGTTGAAGGTGGAACAGGATAGAAAAAAGTAACTGATTTCCACCAACTGCTGTAGGTACACACACACACACACAGAGAGAGAGAGAGAGAGAGAGAGAGAGAGAGAGAGAGAGAGAGACTGACTCTCATTGTTCGGACTAGTGGCTGAATTTTTGTGATATCAAAGAATATTTCCATTCTACCTATATTATATCAGCATTTGTGATCCTAAACAAGGGGAAAGTTAGCATGAGCCAAAACATGTACTCGTCCTTCTCAGTGACAGAAAAAAAAACTTTTCCATAATGAACTCTCCAGTAAATTTCCTCTTTGCACATATACACCTTTTTGCCTAATGCACAGTATAGTAAATGAAATAGATGGTACAATGTATACGTTGTTCACTTATTTAGAAACTACAGGTGAAGATTTAGTTATCTATTTTAATATAGAACGATCTTCTATTTTCCATTATATTAACATTTAGTCTTTAAAGCTTCCTAGTCTTTTGTCAGATTTCTCTGTTTCTCCTTTATTTCCTTGTTCTCATTTCTTTATATTTGCTCTAGTCTGTGAACTTATAGACTATTGTTTCTCAATAGTATACAGCAATATCAACGTAGACAATGTGCTTTTTATATATAGTTATATAGAGAAGGAAGACAAACTGAATCATATGTGTTGTTGGGTATTATCTTGACCACCTTTATGATATTCTGTATATATTGCAAAGAGGCAAAAAGTAGATGGATGTCGCATGAATCAAGGATGCCCACTGGAGGGGAGGATGCTTGTAGTTGTCATTGTTTTTCTAAAAATTGAAAGAATGGAATTAGCACAGAATTACTATGTCAAAACCTACTTCTGTTAACATGTAAATATAATCTTTGCTTTGAGTCTATTTCCAACATATTTACTAAGTATCTTGCAAAATGTTCACTTCAGGAATACATTGCCTTAAACAGAGTCTACCAAAACGAACAGCTGGATTAATGGCTAAATCATATGATCCAATAGCTCCTATAGCTGATGAAATAAGTGAGGAAGCTGGTCTCTTGTGTTTTGATGAATTTCAGGTAAGTAAGAATATATTATAAGAGATTTACATTCTTCTTTTCCTGGGGAAAAACATGTCTGATAGCAGTATTCTGTACTGCTGTTAACTTTCTAGGCTGCAGGTGTTTTTTATACAGTATTTTCTCATTGAAGCATTTATTTACTCATATGCTTGGACAAGCAAAATTTGTCACAGTTAATATGATCTTGAATACATGAAATTTTAGATGCATGTAGCTGGTATTGTTATATCAGTGCTATCTGCTAAACTGGAATCTTTTTTAAAAAAATACACAGTCTGGTTTATATTACACTTACATTCAATTCTAAAATGTTATTTAATCATACATTCTGCACATACAACATATATATTGTTCATCTAAATAAATGTGTCTGTGTATTATTAGTATGTGGATATATTGTATTTCTATACATAACACATACATATGAACATACAAATATATATATGCATACATACACACACCATTCATATTAAGACTTGTCCAATTGAGTCTTTGCTTTAATCGTATGTTTTGGAAATATTTGAGCTTCTACCATCCATACTTTACTCACGTTCTCATAGATTATGGCCTATGTTGCTCCGACCTAAAATTGTCAGTGTAAGCAAAGATTTAATATGTATATGTTACCTTCTCAATAGTCAAAACTTTCGACTAGACATTCATAGGTTATTTATTTATATTATTTTAACTTGTTTTCTTTTAAAAATAAAATAGGTTAATTAAATCCTACAAGATCTAGAAAATAAAATCATAAAGCAGCACCCATTGTAACACATCCTCATGTCCTGGACTCAGATATATTAATGTCCCAGTTTTGGGGAATGTACTTTTTGACTCCTGGCAAATGCTTGGATTAGTCCCAGCTCTAGAAGTAGTTTGCTATTGTCTCCTTCCTAAGGTTAAGACTGGTTCAAGGTCACCCAGCTGGTTTTTTTTCCTAAAGTGGGATTAGAACTCACAGTTTCCTAGTTTCTATACCAAACCGATTCTCTTCTTTTAACGTTGCCGTTAAAATGTGACATCCAATATTTTGATTTTCTTAGTGTCTCAGTTATTATGGACAGTACTGATACTATTTTGTAATTTTCTTGCATCGCAGTCACAGAACTGTATGTAGACTATTTTTGGAAGGAGAACAAACAGCTATGCTTGGAGCAGTGAATGTATTTCTGAATTGAAGTGCATTCTTTTTTTCTGGGCTTAATGAAGCAATTTCACTTCATAACTTCCTTATTCCACAAAGTCCTTTTTTATCCCGTGGGTGCATATTTATGCTTTAAAGCTGAAAACAGGATTTTCTGCGATTTTTAGTTGACAGAAGAACGCTATATAGTTGTCATCCAAATTAGTTTCAGTTTGGAAGTTTAAGAATCCCAGATCAGCGCTTCCTTTTTGTTGATTGGACATAGTCATGGGGAATCTTGCCACTTCCGTTCTGTGATATATCATTATATATATATATTCTACTTGGCATGTGAAAATTCACACCTGTGTTAATAGTAATCAAGGTGGCACAAGGCAATCAAATGTGTTTGTTTCCTGACAGGTGATAAATCTGTTGAGGAGTTCATCATTAAAGTCCTTATAATCCCATTGTGTCCCTAGCATATTCTGCTACTGAGCTACAGGCCACTTGTAAATGACCAGTAGAGAATAGGGAATATGATAAGTAGCTTGAATTAGCCAAAAGCAAATTACACCAGTCTAGCCTAATTTCCCCCTTTGATACAAAACTGGCATAGTAGGCTATGGAGATGTAGTATCTGTAATATACCTTGACTTTAAGCCTTGGATACTGTTGAATAGGTAACTGAGGTAAGCTTTAGAATGAATAGCCTGTGTGTATTAATGGACTATCACAAAAATGAAATTTAATGAAACACGGTTTTAATGAATTACCTAGATGAGTAGATATTTCAAAGGTAGCGATGGTAGATCTGAATTTTGGGTAACCTATACTAATAACAGAAACAACATTCGATTTCTATTATACAAAAATCTATTATAAGAAATATATGAGCAAAATATTTCATGTTGTACTTAACAAATGCAAAGCTAAAAAATAATTTATGCCACAATGCCTATCAAGATTCATTGTCTGATTTTAAAATAGCTTTTCTCTCACATTTTTTGGGAGGTAAAAATTTGAAATCTAGACTTTATCGTAAATTTCCCTTTGGTATCCACCATATTTTTATCACTTTTATTTATAGTTGAATTTACTTTAGAAGAAACTCCTTGTTTAGTCCTCTTTTCCCATGTCCAAGACAATTATTGCTACAAAATTCTTAGCGTGCTTTGCCTCTTTTCATTTTATCCATCCCTTGTCTTCTTTTACTACTTTCTTACAACAATGATTTTATCACACTACACATTGTAGAACCTCCCTCATCATTTTAGCAATAACTCTTCCGTGTATTTTTCTCATCCACAGCATCTTTCATTCCTCAACCTTACACCCTGCTTTTTTTTAATACTTTCTATTAATTTAAATCCAGACACTTCTGTGGCACTCTGTAACACAATTCTTTTAACTTTATTTCCTTTTATTCACTTCCCATTCATTTTGTTGCTAAATTAATCTATCTCCTTATACTTTTTTTCCATAAAACATTCAAACAGTCTCTTCTAGTTCCTCAGCTTAACACAGCTCAGCTCAACTCTCCTTCCCTCCCCTCCCCTCCCCTCCACCACATGTCTCACATTCAGAACCTGATTGTGGAGTTCATTAAGAATACTACCTACATCTCTGAATGGCCCAATCGTTTTACTTTCCCATCTCATTTTTATCCACTATTCACGTTACCCAACACAATAATTTTTCCACTAAATCGCACTTCACTCAGACTATTGCACATTTTTTTCCTAGAACTTATCCCTATTTTTCCCTTATCAACTTTTATTGGAGTGTAAGTTCCAACTACTGACAACCTAAGGTTTCCTACTTTTATATACATTCACTCGACTTACATCACATTAATTCATTCTTCAAATATATACAATTTAGCCCTTTCATTCATAATTAAATACACACTTAACTTCTTTGAATGAATTCATAAACTTCACTTTCAAAGAACACCTTTACTCAAATCTATTACTGTATGTTCTTTATTTTCCTCATAGTTTCACAGACACACAATGCATCTATTTCTTCTTTTCTTTTAATATATAATACAGTAGATTCCTGTCCTATGAACCGAAGCTTCATTAACCTTTGCATTATTTAAAAGTAGCACCAGATATAACTCTGCTGTTCTGTCTTCCCACTCATGCCATATTGTGTGCTTCAAAGTTGAATAGCTGTGGAGCTTTGCATCACTTTTCAGATTCTGCAGCCCAGCAAATTAGCATTTTCGTGATACTTTCCTTTCACTGGTGTAAGAACAAACCACGATGCTTCACTTTCCATAGTTCAGGTATTTGTTGCTGAATATTGGTGAGACATTCTGAAAATGCACTAAAAGCAGTACAGTATTTATTTACTGGTTTGTTACGGTTTATGAAACTGTTGGTAATTTTGGTAAGCCTGGCTTCCTTTTATGATATTAGGTGGTTCAAACATAGAAAAAAATGAGACCTGCTGCAGATTTTTTCTTAAAATTTATCCTTTGCCAAATCTGGAGCCTTGAGTTTGCTTGGGCTGAAGACAATTGTAAAGTCTCTAGAGTAAAGTGGTAATGTCAATAGTTAGTCCAAAAATACTTGCCCCTTTCTAAGGTGTTTGTTTCCAAAGATAACTGGACAAGAAAATCCAGTTGCCTTTTGAAAGAAAGCATTTTTGGAACAACTATGATTTGGATGACTGAAAATCTCCATAGACACTTGCCCCATTATATACAAATGGGACTGACTGGTGCTTTTGGTATAACCCCCCTCTTTTCTTTCTCTCTCTCTCTCTCTCTCTCTCTCTCTCTCTCTCTCTCTCTCTCTCTCTCTCTCTCTCTCTCTCCCTCCCTCCCTCCCTCCCTCCTTCCCTCCCTCCCCAACAGTTGCATTAAAAGAAACAAAAAGAAGAACAAATTTTTGTTTAGCGCATGAAGTCCTTTAAAGAAACAAAAAGAAGAACAAATTCTTATTTAGCACATGAAATCCCCCCTGGGCACTTTTCAAGATAAAATGGCACACATCCTTCCTGCAAGGTAGTGGGGGCTAATGGCTGTACCAGCCTTCAGTTCACACTAGGCACGTCTATCATTTCAGAGGTGAAACTGAGGAAATCAAACTCATCCGGCAGCTTATGGACCAGCTGTGAATCCTCCTTTTGGTTACACTGCCTTTGTCTGATGTCACGTTCTATATCTCTACTTTAAAAAAACAATGACAGGCATTTCAGACATGAAATAGCTTTATTTTCATATAAATAGCACAAGAAGAGTGGTTAGGTTTGGAATCCAGGACACTTGTAAATAGTAAATTAACATTGTTGTATACTGTAGGCAGTGCTTATAAGCAAAGCGAAGAGAACAATTTTAAATACTTAGTAGGAGCAAGTTTCATTAAATGCAGGGGGACCTCTGAGTAAAACATGTCTTAAGATTGCACTGTTACACTCCTGTTTTTGTGAGAACACTAATTATTACCTATACATACTTATATTTACTATTCATCCCAAGAAATCTTACCAATCAGAGGAAAACTGAGGTTCAAGTATTTAGACACACACCTTATTTAGATTTTTTTAAAAAAAAAAACTTATGTGAGAAGAAAGCAGCTCTGGGTCATACAAATCTTTCCTCTTAAATGCAAATGAAATTTCACCATTCTCTCCATTCTCACATATCTCTTATTAGTAATTTGTATTCTTTTCTTTTGTTCACATCCATCCTTCCCGCTGAATGCTGAGCACAGGCAGAACCTAAGCTTTGAGATGCTTTAACTTTTGTCTTCCTTCCCAAAGCTACAGAGGATCAAAAGGGCATAAATTGGCATTCCATATACCAAATGACTCTTGCTTTTTTTAATTATGTAACTTAAAAAAATAATCAGTTTTGGCAGACAAGTAGATTTAAAATTCTGCAAGAGCAAAACACTAGCTATATCCTCATTGTGTTTTCTCTGGTCATAAATCTTTCTGTGTTTAATGTTCCAAGCTGCTATGCTTTATCGGAAGGTTTCCTTTGGGAAATTAAATATGTTCTGTTGCGTATCGTTTTCTATTTCTCAAGTAGAAGACTCCTTTTTCTTCTTCCTGTCTTATTTTCCCTGTTTCAGAGGTCTCATCAAAATGGATACTTGCTTTTAGTTACCTAATGCCTTTCCGATTTTGTTTTGTTTCTTATTGACAGGCTCAAGGGTGCCAGGTTTTGATTTGTTAGATAGTACTTTTCTTCAGTGCCTCTCTATACTTGCAGTTATCTGCCTATTCATTCTAAGAAAATAGTCAAGGCCAACTACCTAAAGCAGGGGTATCAAACTGCCAGCCTGCAGGCCGGATGCGTCATGCCAAAACCGCGCCCACCCCATTGCTGGCAGTGGGAAAAAAGTCACGTGACGTCGCGAGTTTGACACGCATGACCTAAAAAATGTATAACTTAATTTAGGTACAGCAGTTTCCAAAGGCAGAAGCATAGAACAACACTATGTGTGGAAGTCTCCTAGGTTCAGGGTGTGAATAGTTGTGAGGTTTGGGTGGGAATGTTTTTTCCTCAGCCTGTTTTATCATGTTCCCTTTTTATATTAGTAGTATCCATCTGTTTTGAATTTACATATTTAAGTGAAGTTCTGCACATAATAAAATTAGTATCTTTAGCACAGCTGTAATAATTTGATGAACAATTAGTGGGGAAGTGAAAATCCTCAGACAAAAGTTTTTTTTTTTTGTCATGAATTGTTGCTCCCCTTCTTGTTTAAGAGAGAGTGTGTGTGTCTCTGTGTGAGAGAGAATGATTTATGTCTGTGAAGGTTAGAAGAGGCTGACTGTGCTGGAACTGACTGCAGTGCCTTTTTGATTATTCATGGACAGTAATAGAAGGCACTTAAAAAGAACAATGAAATTGCTTATTTTTTTGTGATGGGCCATCTGTTGAATTGTTTTGTGTAACAATCGCACAATAGTATCTATGTCATATCATTCTATTTTCAACAGCAGCTGATGATGTATACTTGGCCACTTGTCCTATTTTCTAAAAGTCCCATGACCATTTAAAGTCACCTCTGTGAACCTTTTCTGGAAAGGTAATAGAAACGTAGAGCAGCTGGTGTGTATTTTCTTTTTCTGATCTTCTGGCAGGTTTGTGTATTTGTGTGTGTTTCAGACTAATGAGCTTTTTAAATCTTAAATCTCTTTTTTCCCCCAACCGGAGTTTTAGAATGGAAGTTAAGCAGAATTGTTTAGCAGTCTGGAATAAAGGCTTGTCTTGAGAAAAGATTGCTACATACTCCCTGCTTATTATTTCCTGTCCCTCCCACATTTTTTTCTGCAAGTGGCAACATAGAATCTTTTGCCTTTGAACCCACAAAACTCTCTTCTGACTAAAAACAAGACCCCCCCCCCAAAAAAAAATCCTCAAAGCAAATTGGATGCAGCTTTGTCGATTGTACAAGTCAAGATCTGCTTTTGACAATAATAATGTTGTCTTCTTCAGGTCACAGATATTGCTGATGCTATGATTCTCAAACAGCTTTTTGAAAATCTGTTCCGAAACGGTGTCGTCGTTGTAGCCACATCAAACAGGCCACCAGAAGGTAATCATGAATAACATGCTGATTCTGGCTTTTTCAATGAAAGTACAGTTAGGATATCTTAAACTGTACATGGGATCTGTTTCTGATTAACATCCATCTCTTTTACCATGTTTGCGCTTTTAAGTGTTAATCTTAAGATCTAATTCTGTGTCATACATTAAATTCTTTCTTGGTTTCTATTGAAAGTCATAAAAATAAATGATATTAATATGCATTGAGTGGGATCTAAAGTGATCAGTTATGGATAGAATAACTGCTGTCTCAGAAAGATGCTTTCTGTTAGCACAGTTCTCCTTTTCTGAACAACAGTCCCTTCAGTTCCTGGAGTAATCAAGGGTAGATCCAACTACTCCTTTCTTAAAGCATAGAAGAAGCAATTGCCCCTTGAAACAAAAAGGTAAGAAATAGAAATAGCGGGCAGAGAAGTTACAGGAAGAACAACAGAGTTAGCGGTATGTAGCTTCTCCCTGTACAAAGGGGGAGGGAAAGCGTGTATTTCCCCTAACTCCTTAAGACAGATGGAATAAAAATATAATTAATATAAAATAGGAAAAAGTAAATTATGCTAGAAAAACAGCACAGAGAATGCAAAGTATTGCTGAATATTTAATTTGAAGTAAATAATATTTCTTCCAAAGCAAGTGCACAGAAAGACACAAAATGTGTGGGTATTTATATATTTATTTAGGTATGTTTTGTAAGTTGCCTCAGATCACAGATATAAGCTACTTGGGCAATTCACAATACTAGCCAATGAGAATGCAAGAGGCAATAATAACAGAATCCATTCACCACTTAAGCATTTTGTATTTTTTTCATTCAGGATTATGCTTCCAATGGTCTAGTCCAGCGGTCCTCAACTTTTGCGGCTTGGCATCCTGGCTGGGGAGAGAGAGGGGAACCAGGTCATGTGAGTGGTGGGCCAGTGTGTACACACATGCATGCACAGCTCAACTTGTGCAAGTTGAGCCGTGTGCTTGTGCACACACATGCTGGCCCACTGCTCATGCAAGTTGAGCTGTGGCATGCATGCCAGCCTACTGCTTGCATGGCCCGGTTTCGAATAGGCCACGGCCTGGTACTGGGCCATGGCCTGTGGGTTGGGGACCCCTGGTCTAGTCCAGCTCATGAAAGATTATACCGTAATATATTGTTTAATGTTTAAGATGGCACAAAACTATAATCTTAAAGTAGTGTCCTGATGGCTGGGATGGGAACCTGGAGCTTTCAAATATTACTAAAATACTATTTCCAGCATACAGATAGTTCTTGGTTAACAACCATTGATCCAACTACAGTTTGAAGTTATAACGGTGCTGAATGAGTGATGGCTATGACCACCCCTCAAAGTTCCAGCCATCCCAGAACCCCTGCAGTCATGTGATTGCAGTTTGGATGCTTGGCAATCAGCTGTCACAATGATTGCAGGATTCTGTGGTCCCATGATCACCATTTGTTGACCTTCTCTGTCAACTTCAATGATCCCCACAATCCTGGGGATCTCATGCCTTGTCGGATGCTTCTGTCCACATTCCGTCATGCAAGTGTGGCTGGCCTGTTACGCTTCTGCAGTACCGCAGCACCCACCTGTGCCCTCTCCTTCACCTGGAAGTAGCCATCTCTGTGCTCATGCTGCACTGATCATCTGCGCACCATCCCATGCCCAGTAGCAGTGACCCCTCCCCATCCCCACCTGGCCATGCCTGTACTGTGGCCTGCACTTAGCTGTCTGCTGGTCTGCTTGCTAGCCATTGGAAGCCAGCAGATCCTCTCATGACTCATGATCCTTGCTTAACAATGGCAATGAAGAGTGCTGAGATGGCTTTCGCTAAGTGATAGGGTTACGTGATGTCACATTTTACAATTGTGTTGCTTAGTAATGGATCTTCTGGTCCTAGTTACCATTGTTAAGTGAGGACTACCTATACCTCAGTTTTGATCTTGCTGATTTGGGTTGGTGGAATCTGAAGGGCTTGGCCCTGAACCAGTGGAAGAACCTGCCTCCAGAAGCTGTGAATGCTCCGACACTGGAAGTTTTTAAGAAGAGACTGGACAGCCATTTGTCTGAAATGGTATAGGGTTTCCTGCCTGAGCAGGGGGTTGGACTAGATGACCTACAAGGTCCCTTCCAACTGTATTATTATTATTATTATTATTATTATTATTATTATTATTGTTACTGCTAAATATATTTGTAAGTCAACAGCTGCTACGGATCATTGGTTGGAATGAAAACTCTGCTGGCCAAACAGATACTATGTAGTATGTTATTCTGCCTTTTTTTTTTTTTTTTTAGCCTATATAGTTTTACTATCTTAATTAGATCTGTTTCAAAATCTTAGAAATATTTACATTTATATGCCATTCTTAAAAGCATAGTTTAGTAATTGAGTCCAGTCATTAAAATAAAATGATGTGTTATCTTCATCAAACTGTACTAAGAATTATAACATATGTGTAATTATACTCATTGAATTGTGCTTTGAACGTAAACAGGGATCAGATTAGTTGTTAAAGAATTGGTGTACAGTAATTGTGACTCTAGTATTTCGTTTCTGCCAAGTGACAATACTGCTTTATGTACTACTAAAACCTGTGCGTGAAACCATGCATCACAGGGCAAAACCTTTCAACCAAGACACCTCAAATGGGCTTGCTTACAGAATATGTCCAAAATCTGGGACCTGTGACTCCTGCAGAATTGAAATTTGATAAATTAAAAGAAAATGACATAAAAGATTTGCTTTCTGAATGCCAGAGGTTGTGCTCTTACAATGCTGCCTGCCATTTTAATTATTTATTTGTTTGTAGCATTTTTGCAAAAAAGTGCTACAAAATAGGTAATGATAAAAATGTACAGCAAATACAATTGCATTTTCTATTTTTTCAAGAAAATTTGTTCCTGTGAATTTTGAGGAAACAATAACTTTGATTTTCTTGTATGTTCCAGTATCTCCCTATAAATCTCTGATGCGTTTATAATATTACCAATTTTATTCAAGTTGATATAATGCTTCTGCTTTCAATTGTATCATTTTTAGATAGGACTGAAATTAATAATGTATTTTTTCTCTTTTTGGTTCTTGAACATAAGCAATATAATAACAGAATTTTGGGAAAAGGACACAGCAATGGTAATACAATATGTTTTCTTTCAGATCTCTATAAAAATGGTCTTCAGAGAGTTAACTTTGTGCCATTCATTGCTGTACTAAAGGTAATAAATAATTTTTTTAAAAAATATTTTAAAAAAAGTTATTAAGCATTGGGGAAGATATATAGCAAGCATGAAAAACCCAGAAGAAGGAATAAAAAGTAAAATATAGACAAATAAATGAGGAGCTATAATAGAGGTAAAATTTTCAAGTATAATATTACTACCGGTACTAATGTATGTATTATATCACTTTAGTAGAGTAAAAATCACTATTAAACTTTAAACCAAAAATAAATATCAAGAATTTTGATCCACACAGTATGAATTATAATTTCAATCCATTTTACTAAATATTTGTTCTATGTTTGATATTCTATAAAACCAAAATATAAATTCATACATTGAGAAATCCACATTTTTGATATAAATATATCAAATCCGGGCATTACTTTTAAAATGGGAATGTTAATTTAGACATCAGTGTGTATTTCCATAACTTAGTAAGCCATTCTTCCTTTGAAGGGATCATCAGATGATCTTTCTTGTAAAAGTAATATAATACCCTTGAAGCATTTTTTTTTTATTAACGTGGCTTTGTTTTTGCTTTCTCATTTTTTTTTGTTGGAGAACTACCTTTTAAAAAATTCCCATGGTGAATATGGTCCCCTGAATCCATGTTTTCTTGTTAAATGCAAAAGAAGCAAGGGGGAAAAAAATTATGTAACTGTGGGGTTGGTTTGATGCATGGCTAGATTGTGGCTTCTCAAATTTTATTGGCTACAGCAGAAACAGCTACAGATTAGTTCTCAACTTACAACCGTTTGTTTTAGTGACTGTTCTAAGTTACAGTGGCATTGAAACAAGTGACTTACGACTATTTTAAACATTTATGACCATTGCAATATTCCCATGGTCATGTGACCAAAATCTGGAAGCTTGGCAACTGGCATGTATTTATGACGGTTGCAGTATCCTGGTGTCATGTGATCATCTTTTGAGACCTTCTGACAAGCAAAGTCAGTGGGGAAGTCAGATTCACTTAACAACAATGTTGCTAACTTAATAACTGCAATGATTCACTTAACAACTGTGGCAAGAAAGGTAAAATGAAGCAAAACTTACCTCACAATGGAAATTTGGGGCTCAGTAGTGGTTGCAAGTCAAGAACTACCTATATTCAGTTCCAATTTATTTAAATAAGGCCTCATAAAAATTCAGGGTAAACGCAACAGGGACTCATGAGGTGTAAGAGACCTTGCATTGGATTCTTTTGTTACTGCTTGCTGGTACCTATTATAATAATCTAGTCTTTCAGTACAGTATGGGAAATTTTGTTGTTTTTTTCCCCCCACCTCTGATATTCAGTAATGTGCCTATTACTGAATATGCACTTCTTTTATTTTAACTTTGATGAGATAGGAATCATTGAAATATCTATATATTTTTATATCTTTATATCTTTATCTATATCAGTGATATAAAAGAACTCCCAGCAACCTTGCTTTTATGCTCTGATGATGTTGGCAGTGTTGGCCAACAAAAGCTCAGCATTTGTATTAAACAGTTTGTGGTTTAATGTTATCCTGGTGTTCAAACTTATTTGTTTTTATCTTATGGCTTTACCCAGGATTCGTATTTTTAATATAATTAGAGACATATACATATACATACATATACATACATACATACATACATGCATGCATTTGTTTTCTGAGGTTTTTGCGGGTGTTTGTATGTAGGTCTTTGGTTATTCGGGTTTTCTCCCGCGTAAAATTGGAAGTGTCTTGGCGACATTTCGACGAAGTCTCATTCATCATCTTCAGGCTGGTGTTTTCGGCTTCGTGCTTCTAGGATGTCGCCAAGACACTTCCAATTTTACGGGGGATAAAACCCGAATAACCAAAGATCTACATACAAACACCCGCAAAAACCTCAGAAAACATATATATATATATATATGTATATGTATATGTATATATGTATATGTATATATGTGTGTGTGTGTGTGTGTCTCTATATGTATGTGTGTGTGTGTATGTATGTATGTATATGTGTACAATGATTTTGGTCAATACAAAAATTATACAGGAAATGGTATTACATTTATATATTTATAAATATATATATGAAAATTTCAAAATTTCTTTGAAAATTACTAAGATTTTAATATGCTTTATTTGGATCATGTCCATATAAAATAAGAGATTAAAGGGATAATATTTTTAAATAAGTACATAGCTTTTCATACAGTCAAAGTAATCTGCAGCAAATGATTTCTATGGATGATATAAATTCATGAAATCACTTAGAAAACACTAAAGTCTGCAGACATGCAACCACTTTTGTATTGCTGAAATCAATGGGGCATCTTTTTTCTGAGTTAACGTATTATGTTAATTGTCATCTTTCATTTGTGGGACCCAAAGAAACTATCTCTGGTTTTTTTCTCCTTTAAATTTCATGTTTTGTGATCTGTGTAGTGACCTAATTTCACTTGAGCTCTGTCTATTCTTGAACTTCTAAATCTCTTATCATCATTTAAGTAGTAGTACTGCAGCTGCACTTTCCCTGGAAATCAGTTGTATTTCATTTTATGAAACTTGTCTTTGAATAAATCTTAGATTAGGTTATTGGCTTGTTTGCAACAGTGCTGGCTTTATCCTTATTAAATTATTATTTTTGTAGTCTCAAATTTGTAAGCGATAATAAAGTATATTTAACTACTATTCTGTTGGGTCAAGAATGGTTCTTTCTACAGCCTGGCAAATTCTGAGCCATTTAAAGGCAGAATGGCATCTTTTAGCACCAGTGAGAAAATATAAAATGTTTCTGATTATGTGTTCTGCCTTTGTCAGGCCACCTGTGTAAGTCTGAACAAATTTGTTTCTTCTGATTTCTTTAAAAAAGTCATTCTGGTGATTAAACTGATTTGTCAGTTAATTCTGTTCTAAGGCGGCAATAGTCTAGTAGCTTTCAGTCCACTGAATAGTTTAAAGTTGCTTTTGTGGTCAGTGTCAGCACCCTGACCTCTGCTAAGCTGTCACCTGAGTCAGAATTCCTGGGATTAAGTCTTTGATATTGTGATGTCTTCACTTATCTATTGACTTTTTCAGTGCTGAAGATGTTAGGCCTTTTGATTTCTTTCTTAGTGAGAAGCCAAGCAAGTGTTCAATAGAAGTCTTTCTTTCCCAAGCTGTGGCAGTTGTAGACTCTGTCTTTCTCTTTTCTCTGTATTAATTAAATGGATTACTTTTGGGATATATAATGCAGTTCCGTTGTTGGGAATCACTGGGCTTAATATAATAATAAAAAAAGAGGCTCTGTGTGTCTATACACATGCAGGCATAGACTCATGAATATAATAAAATGCTGGGATCGGTTATGACTTAGATCCACGATCACTACATAGCCTGTTCTGTGACTGCTTTTAATGTGAGCTCATCTCAAGCATTTTGTTTGAAAGCATCTGTGCTTTAGCCTACAAAATTAGAACTCAAGTCTTTCATTTGCTCCTCTAAAAGGTTTCCTATAGAAGGGGAATCAAGAGCACGCCGAATGCGTTTATTCGTTTTGTCTCTTTTAGAACCACGACACAAATTAAATATTCAAGAACGAGGCAACAGTTTTAAAAACATTTGGATTAAATGAAGTTATTTTGAAACTATAGAAAAGTAAATTGTGTGCGTATGTTAGTGCCAATTATTTTTCCCGGGTCATTGTTTGGCCGATCTTCATTTTTTTCAAAACAAATGGTCACCTAATGTTAAAATAATTGCAGCAAACTCTTACGTTCTCTTCCCTTTTTATTTTAATATTAATGACTCATTTAATCCTTCAGCAAATTAACTCTTTGGTTCAAACAAGTTACTCACATTTTAGAACAGCTACCTAATGGTGTTTTCTTCAGGTATTGGGATGTGTTTGCTTAATTAGCATATGGCACTTTTCTTTGCTTGGAGTACAATGTGAAATAAAGCTGATCCCCCATTTTTCTGTGCGGCCCATTCCCCAAAGTCTCAGCCAGTTAATAAAGTTTGTAAGGGCTTTATCACAAGCTCTAGGAAGGTCCACAGAGAAGAATATTAATCCAATAAACATTTCATTCAGCTCATGAAAAGAAAGCATCAGGAGAAGAGAAACTCCTGGAGAAGAAAAGCACACCACTGACAATTTTCTTCATGCAGAATTGTTAAGAAATTTGCCAGATTAAGGAGAACGTCTTCAAATTTAGCAGCTAAATTGCGTTCAGAATAATGGGAATAGTTTGAACCTTACATGGTGAATATTCTAAAAAGCCACAACTGTTTTCTTCAAAGGCTTACTGTGGAGCTGGATGGACAGGGCAAGAGGAGGTTGTGAGAAACCCAAATAGCAAATAACGGTGGTTGAAAGTTGAGGGGGGGGGAGAGGAATAGATAATTAGGTACAATTAGTGTGTATGAATTGTTGTCTCCCTGCCCTTGGCTTGAATAAATTTGGAAGGAACAAATCCAAGTGGCAAAACTGCTTTGATGTAAGAGGAGTCATTGTGGCTTGGCAGCATAAAGGCAGTGTTTTATACTTCTTTCATAATGGTTGTGATACAGAAAGGCTGAATGCACTGTGCACACCCCCCTGCACCCCCGCCCCCCAGTCTGCTTTACAGCAAGGACTTTTGGATTCTCTTGAAACAAAATGCAGCAGAAGTTTTCAGTTGTGGGTAATGAGGTACTGGACCTCATCAGAGTTAGGCATAAGCCATCCTTAGCCTTTGCATAGATCTTAATCACTTTTTTATTGTGGGAAAGCTAGTTTCCAAAATCAACACGTCTTTCTTCGTTTGTTTTTTTTTCCACCCTTCCTATTTGAAACTTCGGCGAAAGGAACGACTAATGCAGAAAAGTGCAAATCCGGGTTTAAAGAGTGGAAATCTAGTGAGCATATTTCATTCTAAGTAGAAGTACATCAGAATAGTATATTTACATACCTGTATTTATATCTTTTAATGCCTGCCAGTTTTATTCTAACATATGCTATTGACCATATTCACTTCTACTTATTTGAATAATGTTAAGAAATCT